TAGTTAATGAGTAGCAGAACTAGGAAAGGACTTGAGACAGTCTGACTCAGGGGCCAGAGCTATACTACCTCAGAGGAAGGCAAATACTACTTAAAATTGTTGTATGGGTAAGACAGTCAATAAAAATCCACGATGAGTCCCAAAGTAACTCCACGAATAACAGCACAGTTCATAGTACGATCAAACTTTTAACTACCCTGGGTCTTTACAGATACACACCTGTTTAAGCAAGTCTTCTGCCAAAAACATTTACTATCTCACACACAGTTGGAACTAACAAATAATAGTCTGCATACTGTGATCTCAAGACAAGATAGTTCTGCGAGAATGAGAAACCACATCAAAGAAGGTTCTGGACCGTCCTGTCCAACGACTCAATGCAGAGTCTCTTTTGGCAGTCGTACTGGATCTGGGACAGAAGTAAGTCTGAGGGAAAGCGCCTCTGTTGGCCATCCGGGGGGTTCTGGCTAAGAAGAGAGTGGCCTCTGTCAGATCTCGTAATCACACTAAAAAATAAATCCGTACGTAGTAACTAAAGGTATAAAATACAAAAACAAAGACATGCTGAACTGCTGAGTAAGTGATACAAACTGATTCTTTAACATACTGAGGAAAGTGTGAATGAGACAAAGAGCTGTTATTTCTTCCTAATCCTAGACAACTCCCAATTAATTTGTCAAGCAGACAAAATTGTCACCTAGTCTGCTAAGAAAATGACTCCATGGCAATGTGCATCTTGGCCCATCCTGATGCAATAGGAAGAATCCAATGTCCAGTCTGAAGACCAACTTTGAGTTCCAGCTCAGCTACTTACTAGTTCTGAAATTCCTTTTAATGTTACCAGCTGATATTTCACATCATTCAACAGCTTAAAAATATTTTTTCATGTACATTTCCTTATTATGCTTTCTTTACACTCCTTTGAGGTACTTACTGCCATTTTGCAGATGAAATGACTGAGGCTTGCAGAGGTCACGCTTTAGATAGAACAGAGTAAAAAGTCCACCCTGTGACTCACCCCAGAAATCTTTCCACTACACCTCGTGACTGTGAGTGGTAATGGCTTATTAACCAGTTAACCTAACACCTGCTGGCTCAAAGCAACAGAGAGAAGTGGAAAGTGTAGTACTGGAGCCAGGCAGCCCTGGCTTAGAGCACGGCTTTGCCACATTGCAAATGCAAGATGTTTAACAAGTTTCATTACCTCTTGGAGACTCAGTTTCTTGATCTGCAAAGAGGGGGACAGTAATACCTCGTTTACTAGGTTGGCATGAAGATTAAACATGACATAATTAAAAGGACACAAAGCGAGTACTCAAAAAGGGGTTGATATTATGATTATGGACACTGTATTAGTCAGCCAGCCCTCCTGAATTAATAAAACTCCTGGACTGATGATAAAGGAATTTCAGCAGCTGCACAGGATAGAAGGTAAGATTTGCAGAGAGCTTGGAGAATAGGGTAGATCTGGGCCCTTGCTCCTCAAATTGACAGGCAGTCCTCATGTGGCCCCCTGATAGCCAGAGATGTGAGCTGCCAGGGTCTCCCAAAGCCAGGCCAGGGGGAAGCAGCTTCAAAGGCCGGTGCTGCTGGGATAAACATGAAATTGGGTGGACCAACAGAAACTCAGAGGACAGACTGGAAGAGAGTCCCCATGCTAATAATAAAAGGTCCCCAAAGGAAGTACTTCAAAGACAGGAGGACAGCTTGAGAATCCACGAGACACTTGATGGTACCAAGGCAAAGACCGGAGACACAAGCCAAATGTTAGAGGGACTCTGATTTTTTTCTTTAATCTTAACTACTGCAAATATTAGAAATTCCAAATCCAAAATGTCTTTTGAAGCAGATAGGTCAGAAATCTTAGATCCAATACTGAAAACTATTTCCTTTTCCTCTGAAAATTCTCATATTCAATCAGTCAGCAAATCCTATTGATGTGCCTTTAAAATATCTCTCGGGTCTTTATTTCTTCTTTTACAAATATTCATTCAGCATCTATGCAGGATACAACCTACAAAGACTTTGCAAACTGGTGTTTGATACATTAAGAACAGAATGCTCTACTCTTTAGAAAACTGCTCCCGGATGTTGCAAACAAAAAGATTAGAAACTACATTGAATGTGATGCTTTCAAATTGACATCACATTTTAAAAACCGGTTAAGGTGGCAAGAGTCGATGCAGGCCAAAAATGACAGGAATTCACTTTTGATGGTAGCAATAAAACTGCCACATAAATGTTCTTCAAGGCCCAATGTGTCCCCATAGAGGTCAGCTGGCAAGGGCCTCAGAAATGCCTCTGGCCACACTGCCAAGATCCTGTCTGGTGACGTAAAGATGGTAGAGAATATGAAAAAAACTTGCCAGTCCTTCTTTCCCTTTTACCATGCCATGGTTATTTTATTAAATACATTTACATAAATGTCTCTGTCATCCAAAGGTATCACACATGTGTTCTACGACACAAATCCAAATTCTGGATTTTGGAGAACAGATGAATGAGCTAAGCAGCTATGAGTTGCTCACTTACTGGGCTCACAGGTGTCTACCACCCCCGTTCAGGTGCTCATTGTTTTTAATCATGATGTAGCTATAGCTTTTGCATTTCTCTTGGCACCGTTAAAGTCCACATTCACCTACCCACTCCTTTATCCCTTCACAGGCTTATTGAATGTCACACATCAGTTTCATCCTTGTCTTTCCAACTCAGTTCAGGCCCTCATCCCCTCACTAGATTTCTGTATTCTCTCAAGGTCCTGTCTCTTTTCTACCAATAGACTTACTTTGTGAACCAGCCTTTCATGGTATCATGTCCCTGCTCACAGACCTGCAAGACATCACCGTGGCCTGCAGATTTATCTGCAGATCACCCAGCTTGTCATTCAAAGAGGGTCCTGTCACTCCATCACACTTATCTCCCCAAATCAACCAATCCTGCAGTACTGCACAAATGCTATGTTGGTCTTATATAGAAATAGGCCATAGGGAAACTTAAAAAGAAGTGGAAGACTGGGTTCTAGTTGCTACACATACCTAAGGGTAATGAGACAGGTAAGACACAGAAATGGCTTCGGTATGGTCATTTGGTATATAAATGCATCTTCGTTTCTTACTAAGAAATTAAAGTTACACATATATATAATATATGTAATAGATAAGCTATTATATATATATATATATATATCTAATACACACACTGTATAAAGGTTTTCTCTGTCAATGATCATGTTTCTGTACATATTATCTGCAAGGGCATAGATATTAATGTGTTAATATCATCAGGAACCAAGATTTTCAGCATAAGAAAAATGAGACACAAAAGTAAAAGTCAAAGAAATAAAAACTCTGTGATCTTAAAAATGAACTAGAAATATCACTATGAACTCACGTTTTTTTTCTCTTAAAAAAAATTCATATCCCTTAGCTTTATCCTCTCAGAAGAACTAGAAGTATCCACAACATAGGGCAAGGAGCACTCTTAGTGCCCAGGTTAGAGTTCTCTAAATACCATTTTCCATTAAAACAAACCAGGGCCCTTTAGTGCCAGACTGTAGAAAGATCTGCAGGACAAATAACCTTTTATTTTATTTTAACAAATAAATGTCAAGAAAACAAAAAGAACAAGGGAGAAATAAACCTTAAGAGACATAGCAACCAGGTACAATGTGCGGGCCTTGACTGGATTCTAAATAAAAACAAACCAACTATAAAAAAGAATTTATATGATAGTCATAGAATTGGAATACTGATAGTATTAGATGATATTAAAAGAATTATTTATTTTTAAGGTTTGATAAGAACAATCTTTTAGCGGTACGTACTCTTTATTGACAAATGCAGGGTTTTTTTTGTCTAGGATTTCTTTAAACAATCAAGGGGGGCAGGATGGAAAGACTAAATAAAACAGGACTGGCCACATATCGATAACTGTATAAAACGGATGATAGATACACAAGAATATATTATTATACTATACTTCCTAGTTTTGTGTATGTTTGTAAATAACCATTGTAAAAAGCTTCTTCCAAAATGCTTCAGATAGGGGCCGGCCCGGTGGCGCACTGCTACAGTGCGCCGCTTGGGAGCGTGGCGGCGCTCACGCGGAGGGTTCGGATCCCACATACAGACCGGTTCCCGCTCACTGGCTGAGCGAGGTGTGGGTGCAACGCCGAGGGTTGCGATCCCGTTGCCGGTCCCGGTCCGGTACGGGCGCGACACTGAGGGTTGTGATCCGTTGCCGGACACACACACACACAAAAAATGCTTCAGATAGAAAAATTAACTAAAAAAATAAACACAAATATCTATGACGAAATACTAATTGATGAGAATATGGATGCTCATACTTTCTGTATGCTTGAAAGTGTTTACAATAGTAAGCAAAAGTTTAAAAGCACTTAAATCCAGCCAAGACGCAGAGCTGGGTCAGGTTAAAGGACCGTGAAATGTAGCTTCAGACAACTAATGCTGGCTTTTACCAGTAATGTCCTCAAAAGTTCAAGACAAACAACAAAGTATACCAAAAAAGTTCAAACTTGAACAACTAAATTATTAAGGAAGAAAAAAATAAAGACCTACAGAAAAAGACTCTAGATGACAAAACGGTGAAACCCACTTTTCATACTTAGGACATAAAGGATCTTCAATTTAGAGCCACAGTGCAATCAAAAGAGAGGGGAGGTGTTTTATGATTTTCATCCAAGGCCACAATGGCAAAGCTTTATCTTGAAAATCAGAAAGATCTGGCTGCCACTATGTGCCCTAAAGCCTTATTGCCTTAAGCAACAGTGGCATAAACAGCAACCCCATGGAAGCTGAAATCTTTTATGATATAGTTATGTAATAAACCGAGGTAAAGCAGCCAGCCTGCTTCTTACTCAGACACATTAACCAGCCTCTGACATCAGTAGCTATTGCAAAACCACTGCTTCTTGGCAGAGCTCCATAATTACTGCATGGTGTCACATATTCCATGCCTGCTGATAGGATCTCTCATACCTGATGATGACGCACTGGTTCTCTCTGTCAATGATCATGTTTCTGTACATATTATCTGCAAGGGCATAGATATGTGGTGGGTTTTCATACTGTGCCTAGAAAAGCAAAAAACAAAAATAAAAACAAAAACAAATCCATGGTCAGATAGAGCAGCAACACATTAAATTTCTTTTCTTGGCCTTGGAGATGAATCCACCACTGCAGAGTTCCAATGCCTACAGTTACATCTTAAAGGTTGCATGACACAAGAAATCATAAAATTTCCTAGGTCATAAAGAGTTATACCCTAAGAACATTAACATGCAATTTGGAAGGGCTCTTCCATAGGCATATGTGTGATTCAGCCTTTAGACACGACCCAGGACCCACGTCTTTAGATACTCCAACACCACACCCTTCCACCCAAACACGCCTCTGCAGATGGCATCCCATTTCTAAATATTTCTGAAGAGGCCTGGGCAATGGGTCTTAGGAGAGGCATACCAGAAACCTGGGTCTGATTTCTAGAATTCTAAACTCCTATGCAATTATTCCTAAGAGACAAGTTGCAGATTTTGGGACCTTAGAAGGAATTAAGAGAGAGAGACTGAGGAGAAAAACTTAGGTTTCCTTAAGAAGAAGGCAGGAGGTGTGGTTCTTTAAAGGGATAAACTGGTTTGGCCAGTTTATTTCTTCAGTACTGGGGGAAAAAAAATCTTACTACACCAAGATTTTCTCCTGGGTTTGTGATGTAGTCTCATGGGATGCCTGAACTATGCATAAATAAAAAAACCGAATACCTTCTCCATATCTAATAAATTCACTGTCTTAGGCTGATTTCAGCCTTGCCTTATTCAATTTCTTGGTACCCACCTCCCCACAGCTTCAAAAATTACTAAAAAGAAAGATAGTACAGGTGGTGAGTAGCTGGAGAAAGAACACTCCTTAAACGTAAAGTTATGAAACACACAAGAGTGAAAAGAAACCAGATCCAGGGTGAGAAGACATTTAGACTCCATCTTTCCCTTTACTGGTCTCCATCTCAAAAGAGGGAATCAAATGTCCATGCTGCAAATCTCACAGGTAACTGAGATGATGGACAGGAAAGTAATTTGAAAAAGCGGAGTAATAGGTAATATGCAAAGGTAAAGCATAGCTTACTTAATCCCTCTTTGAGCTTTATTATGCAATGACTTACCACAGACAAAGGGCAGGGCCAAGAACTTGCCACTCATCACCAAGCTGTGGAGAACAGAGTTCAGTACCGAGGGGACAGGGAGGGGACTTTGATGCCTGCACGCACGTTAAGCATTGGTTTATCCAATGCCCAGTGCTCTCCCCATGATGTGGGCAGGGGTCTTACAAGGGGAACTGCCCACTGAGGGCCGGAGGCTACTCCTGGGACCAGTCAACAGAAAAACTCTACGGAGGGACCAGAATAACACGTCATCTCTGCCTTCACCTTACGGTCAGAAGGGGCTACGTGAATGGGACCTCTGGATATAGTTTTAGATGGGCTTCTTCTAGCCCAGACTGCTTGTGTAGGATTATTTTTAATGCCCCTGAGAACAGGGAAGTAGAGAATTACAAAAAAATAGAAGATGGAAAATGGGAGGAAATGGAGTGGAGAGAAAGCTGTAGGCAATGGAGGGAAAGGTGTGGGCAAGTCATTGCCCAATAAGGCTTCAAAGCTGCTTAACTAAGTTACACTTGACCTTTGCAAGTCACTCTATACTTTTCAAATTGGTTTTCCATCTGCGGTCTCACTGGACCTCTCAGTTACCTGTGAGAATCACAGAACAGGCATTTCCTCTACCTGATTCTTCCCTCTCCTGAGACCCTGAAAGTCACTAAGACCTGATTTCAACTCCTAGCTCTACCACTCAGCAGATTCTAGTACTTTACCTCTCTGAGCCTCAGTTTCCTCATCAGTGAAATGGGGGTAGTTAGTAATAAACAGCCAGCATCCAGGGCTACTTTATTATTGTTGCACTTGGTAAATACCAATTTTACAACACTCTGTTACCATTAGCAGTAAAAATAAACATATTTAAAATTTTTTACGACATATCTTTAAAGAGAGCTCTTCAAAAGATGAATGGTCTAATAGGGACTGGTATGCAGCCACCATTCTCAGAGAACTGGACAGAAACACGCATGCACAGCACTTCTGTCTACCGTGCCTTGGCTGTCATTGAGGACGCTGCACCAGCTCTGTGCCTGCTGCCCTGGGGCCCTTCTAATCAGGGCACCAGGGCAGGGCCCAGACTCTGCTGACAGTGTTTCCCTTGTGCTGGGCTCCCATAAAGGCAGCATTATCAAAGGTCTTTCGCGTGGCAGCCTCCTTTGGCTCCAGCGACCAGCACCATTCATCTGGCAACAATGGGGGGGGGGCTCTTGCTCTGGGTAAATTGCCTTCCACTTCAACAGATGAATTTGTGTGGGCTCTCTTTTGTTTATTTTCCAGGGGTCAGGATTAATGGATGCTCTTGTGCTTCTACTGCAAAGAAAAGAGGGAAGGAAGAGGAAAGGAAAAAGATGCAGAGAGGGGGAGGCCTGGGGAAGCAACGAACCACAGAATAAAGTATATTAATGAGGATTATAGTTTCTATTCTTATTACAGAATTAAAATGGCTACGGAGCTGAGTTTGAATAGGGACCAGGGTCACGTTAACAAATGAAATTATACCAGATTCATTTTTCATATTCAAGTCATAGCCACAGCTTTGGTTCCCATCACCCTATTTATTTTTTACCTGTAACTAATTTTTATTTCTTAGAATTTTGTGGCATATGTGGGAAGAGGAAGATCCCCAAAGCTATAGGTCCTACATCCCATTTAACTAACTTTGTATATAAATAAGGCTCAAATATTACATAGTCCTATGCTATTTTGAGCTGCACTCTAAAGAGCAGCACATCATTAAAAATCAAACAATGTCACTTACTTGAGCTTCCCCAATAAATAATTCATAATAAGAAAATGCAAATGCATTGCTAATTTCAAGAAAAACTATGTATCACAAAAGCCCTAAACACTGCAGTAATTTATGTGGCATATAACTCACCGCTCCTTGGTACATTTCAATTTCCTTTTCCCCAAAATATGGCATCTGCTTGAAAGGGTTGACTGAGATTAATACGGATCCTATATATGTCTGAATTTAAAGCCAGTTAAGGTCCATCATTAATCTTCATAGCTACACATTTTCCAAATTAAGTAACCAGATGTTATCAAGAATACACAATAATTGTCCAAATGGAAAGATCACGTACTTGTTTTCTAAAAGATTGCAAATAAAGACCAAAGCAATTATCCAACTAGCTAAGGCTTTGTTCCTCATCAGGAAGAGTAATGAATTTAATTACTAAGGTGCTACAAAAAGAAATCATTAAATGATTAATGATTTAAAAGCACATTCTTTCAAAATTGGTGATACGCACAGCTAGGAGAAAACAAAACAAAACAAAACAGAAATGGGCAAGGAGTGAGAAGATCAGCTAAATATCATTCCTCTCCTCAAATGACGACACATATTTTTTCCTTGGAACTTTCATCTCTCTTAGGTAGACTAAAAACATATTCATTTACTCATTTAACAAATAGAGGAATACAAGAAAAACTGATCAGTCCTGTTCTCCAGAAGTTTCAGGGCACTGAGGGGTATCAGTAAGATAATATTCAGGGAAGAAAATTACAAACCCACATAGATCAGGTTTTAGGAGAAGAGGGTATTATTTCTACTAGGGAAACCAGGAAGGCCTCTCAGAGAGAATGTCTATGCTGGGCCTCAAAAGTTTTACACAACACTTTTTTTTTAAATTGAAGCATAAAGATTATACATATTTTGGGGGTACAGTGTTGACCTGTGTACAACACGTGATGACTGAATCAATATTATTGTCATATTCATTATTACAGATCACAATTATTCTTTATGCCCCTTACCCAATTTCTCCCCAATCCCCCTTCTTTCCCCCCCGCCCCACCTCTAGTAACCATAGATTTGTTCTCTCCTGTTATTATTATTTTGGTCTTTTCTTTCTTTCTCTCTCTCTTTCTCTCTCTCTCCTTTCTTAGCACCCACTATGAGACACAACACAATATGCCCAAATAAATGAGGTGTTTGTATAACATAAAAAATATTTCCATTAATTCATTTAACAATCAACTAACTTGAATTAGGTGCTTACAACATGCCAGGCACTGTTTTAGGTGCTCAGGATACAGCAGTGAACAAAATAGAATAGATAAAACTCTTTGCCCTCACGGAGGGGAAAAAAAATGTCAAAACAATACAAAAACAAACACATACTCAAAATTGTTTCTTCTAATCATTGATTTTAAGATGTTTAAATGTGCTGGCCGGTTAGCTCAGTGTGTTAGAGCGCAGTGCTGATAACACCAAGGTCCAGGGTTTAATCCCTGTACTGGCCAGCAGCAAATAAAATAAAAAATAAATAAATAAAATAAATATGTTTAGAAACTTTACAGTTAAAGATGTAAAAGTATGAGATTTCCTCCCACAAAGGGACATTTATCTATTTGTACGTTAGGACCTGTGTAAGAAATAGAGCAGCTGGGTGTGCAGTCAGATTGTCTGGTTCCCAAGCCCAGTTCCACTCTGACCTTAGGCAAGTCACATCTCTGAGCTGTGGTTAATGGATGATAGAGATAAAACAGGACCTACTTTATAGCCCTGGTATGAGAGCTCAATGAAATAATCAATACAAAATGCTCAGCAGTGTCTGGCACGTAGTAGTTGCTATTTCCTTAATTCATATCTATCCTCCAAGATGTGTGTTTGGTCATATTAATGTCTCTGAAATTGTGATGCCTGTTTCAATTGTGGCTTTTACGTTTTGATGAAATGTAGCATTATTATTGCTATCAAATACAAACGAGTGTGGAATGGACCATAAAAATTAAAAAAAAAAAAATTTTATACAAAAAGTGAGAATGCAGAATGACTTGATTACTATGTTGCTTCCTTTGTCATTGACCAGAAAGATCTTCAGACTTGAAAGGGTTGAACATGAATTGCTAGTAGGGGAGATGAAATGGTTTTAAGAGCACACAAATGTGTCCCGTTCCAGTGTTGGAGGTCCCTGGCGCTAAGAGAAAGTGCCAATGAGACCCTGAATCACAACTGAAAATCACTAAAGAGTGATGGAAGAAGGGCCAGGAGCCTCGTGATTGGCAAACGTATTTCTGGTTACTAAAGTCAGATGAGGCCAGTGATAGATGAAAGTGGCCTACTTTTTTTTAGTTAAACTTTATTTATTTATTTATTCGGGCAGCTGGCAGGAGCTGGGATCTGAACCCTGGACCTTGGTGTTATGACACTGTGCTCTAACCAACTGAGCATACCGGCCAGCCCCATGAGTTAAGCTTTAGAACAGATAAGTGTATTATTAAAATCATTAAGCAGAAAAGTGATGTCCATGATGCTGCAGACAAAACTCAATAAGTAATGATAAAACTAATTAAACACATACACATATGTTTACATTTAACATGGTACCAATCTAAGCACCTACGAACGATGTGCTTACTATTATCAATCCTATTTTACTACGAGGAAACTGAGGCGTGTAGAAAAACTTTAAAACTTGCTCAAAGTCACAAGCTAGCAAGTGGCTGAGCTATGATTCAAACCCAGGCAGTCTGGATCCACAGTCCACACTCTTAACCAACAAGCTATAATATCTTTCTAAGATCAGCAAGTATTGTGGTGGTGGTGGTTGTTAATATATTATTATTATTATTATTGGCAGCCTTGCCAGACTTAGCAAATAAAAATAACAATACCCAGCTATATTTGGTCAGATAAACAATGAATAATTTTTTAATATAAGTATTCCCAAATCAGTAAGCCCCCAAGCCACATCTGGGACACATTTATGCTAAAAAGTTATTTGTCATTTATCTGGAATTCAAATTTAACTGGGCATCCTATAAGTTGGCAGTCCAAGGATTTAATGCAGGTGGAGAGGGTTGGATTAGATAGCTCTGTGGTCTCTTCCAACTTAGATTCTGTGATTCTTTGCATATTCAAAAATCTATCTCCCTTAGCTGGATTTTTAAGTATACTATAAGTTGGCAGTCCAAGGATTTAATGCAGGTGGAGAGGGTTGGATTAGATAGCTCTGTGATCTCTTCCAACTTAGATTCTGTGATTCTTTGCATATTCAAAAATCTATCTCCCTTAGCTGGATTTTTAAGTATCCTTTCCACAGGTAAGGACCTACTCAAAACTGAATGAATGAGGTTCGTCCTTCATTCTGATTCTCATACTAAATAAATATAATGATTCTAATGGTAAACCCATTTTCTAAGAAATACAGCACTGCTAGAACCACCCTCATCTCAGAAGAGGAGGATGTCTATTCTATGTCTACATCTATCCCCAGGTAAAAACAAACTTGGAAAATAAGCTTCCTCCATCAAGGGGAGTATTCTTTCCTTTAGTTTAGTAAATGGAATACTGTCAATGTCACCTTGTTCTAGACAAATTGATCACTGCACACAAAGAAAAAAGAGTTCCCCTGAGGAGGTGAGACAAAGGCATCGCCTCTCCACCAATTCCTTGGTTACAGCTGAAATGAATTCTATTGCATATGAGCTCCCAAAATAAATAACTTTTTTTTTTTTTTTTTGTCTTTTGTCTTTTTCCGTGTCCGGCAACGGATCGCAACCCTCAGTGTTGCCCCCGTACCGGACCGGGGACTGGCAACGGGATCGCAACCCTCGGTGTTGCTCCCGCGCCTCGCTCAGCCAGTGAGCGGGAACCGGTCTGTATGTGGGATCCGAACCCTCGGGCGGGAGCGCCGCCACGCTTCCGAAGCGGCGCACTATAGCAGTGCGCCACCGGGCCGAGCCGCGCTTCCCAAGCGGCGCACTATAGCAGTGCGCCACCAGGCCGGCCCATAAATAACTTTTTAAAAAACTGTCAATAATCTATTATATAAAGAAATATCTCTTAAAGTCTTGATTTCGACTAAGTAGATTATATGAATTCTGGTAAGGGCCTGGTTAAGGAGATACTCAAAGAAAATAAAAATCTCTTTTGGACTATTCTAGGCCAATTCAGAATCAATGACTCTGACTGAAAGAAAGAGGGAAAACCATCTGCTCCCTAAATTTCCTAGTCAGGTTCTCAAGGGAAATATTATTTGAGAAAATTCCTGGAAAATAAAATTTGGTTTGAAATGGGTAATGTGGCCTGTTTCTATGCTAATTACTACAAATTTACCTAAATTAGAAAAATCAAGACAAGAAAATTTAATTGAAATTTAAAGGAAACAAACATATTTTAGTTATTTTCAGTGAGAGTTTGGCCTAATTGTTTATCTAAACAATTTTCACCTTTTCCTCCTGGTGGGGTCTGCAGAGACCTTGGCTGCTTCCCAGAGAGTGCAGGTCTCCTGCTAGGTTGGGAACTCCAGATCACTCCCACCCCATATCATTCAGATGTGCCTTTCAAAAGAGCTGTTTAGATCACTGTCTCGACCCTTATAATTTTTGGCAGCAAAGGTGTGTCCTAAAGTTAATTTTCAAAGTATTTGTAAATATGAAGTTATGATACCAAAAAGCAGGAAAAAAAAAATGCCATCTTATTTAATAGAATATGAGAGACAGAAGGGATCCAGTAGATCTTTGTTAATTGACTGGTTCCCAAATGGCTGTCCATGGATCTGTGCTTTTTCATTGACCTGCAGCAAGAATGACAAAAAGAGACACAATAAACGTAATTTTTCATAAAGTTCAATTTACTCAGTGGAAGAGACTGTCCTTTATTCCTTTCTACCTTTTTGGTGTCAAAATATTCTTTTGTTTATAAAATGTGATGGTAGTGCAACTTTTGCATGTTTGTTTTCAAAGGTCTTATGAAGCGAAGCTAAGGGTTTAACTTTTTTTTTTTTTTAATTATATGCACATTTATTTGTTCAAATAACATACATAAACTGAACAAGAGACGAATGACAAAATACTCTGTAGAAAGTAGGGTTTCAATTTTTCACAAAAACTGGAGATGTAAAACATTAAAATTTACATATTTCATTTTGTAATCTCCACAATTAGTTGAAATAGTTCTCTAAAGTCTTCCAAAAGCATGGAAATATCAAATTAATTTCAACAAAGGAAGGTGAATGA